ATTTCTCTTTGATTAAAGGAACGAGTATTTCGTATATTTTCAAAGAAAATCCAATACAACGGTAACACCGAACGAAGTAAGCTTGTTGATTATTCAGCTTTCCGACTTTATTTAGCCAACATCTGAGATAATCATATTATACAAGTGTACGCGCGTGATATATCATACTAATATAGCCTGTAATTTGACACAATTAAAAGAAACCCGATATCATTAAGTTCATGACATTAGATCATCCACAGACCTATCGGGTTTCCTTCAAAAGTAGCAAATGACGGAGTATACAAAAACGCCCTAATTCCAAACTCGGCAAAAGCCTTTTCCAGCGAACAATTCAAGAAAAACAAATACAAGAAAAAAGATCATCCAAAGAAGTGAAGATCTGAACAACATCCGTCATCTTCCATCCTAATATTTGATATATTTATAGTCGGGCTAAAACATGACGACAAGTGATATTTCAATTCTAATTCAAAATATCATCGTAAATTATTTTGTAGCTTAAATCTTGAGTTTACAAGATTTTATTCTTCATCTTCGGGGTGTTTTTACTTTTTTTTTAAGTCAAAGCGCGTGCTAATGTGGTAATTATCCCGTAAACATTCCTGATATCTGCATGTAATCGGGGCAAAAAAGTCTAAACGTTGAATGATCAAAATGCATGATCTCTTCATTTGGAGTTAGCACTGTTTTGTATACTACAGTTCATCAATTGGCTAATATACGATTTGTATTCACTCCTGCTCAAAAACATCTATCGCCTTGAACCGGGCGTTTCATATATCCGACAAAGACGTTGAGGAAAATAGCTACTTGATCTATCCTTAGCGCGTAATTTATATGAGTATGAAGTCGAATGTTATAATAGTTGATGTTAATATAACTGATGCTTACTCAATTTTTCATGCAATACCCGGAGATAAGATGTGCTAACAATGCTTTGACTATAGATAAACTGAAATTATTATTAAATCGAAATTTTGACAATTTGATTGTTTTTCATACCGCGGGTTTGTTTTCCTAATGATAATAAATCGACGGAAATAAATTAAATTTATTCGGTGGTAAACCCTTTGTGTGCCTTATTATATTTTAGCGTCAGTAAATAACACAACATTGTGCTTTTCACATCGTTATATCAAGTCAGTTTCCGCTAAATGAAGAAGCTAGAAGAAGCCATTTATTCCAGACGGGCCGAGAGTTTCAATAGCGAACCTAAAATTCAAAATGTGAAAACGCTGTATTATACATAAGAAAAATTCAGATTAATTGGAATGAAATAACTAAGTTTTAAAATAACTAAATTTCTGCCATTGCCATTGGCGGGGCTGACAGCAGAATCTGCTTAATTATATTGGACTAGCTGATCCCGTGATGCATTTGCCAAAGGTACTAGACATGGACCTATATCTATGAAGAAAGACAAACCGAATATAGTAAACCTTGTCTTTTGATTTTTGTCAAAAATAGCATAATAATATATTAAACATTCAGTCCTAACTGCCCTAACTGCTCTGCCCAGTCCCCTATATACGCGGATGAAAACATGCATAAACCATCGACCGGCGGCGCACTTGCGTTGGAGGGCATGCGTATGAGGCACAATCAGAAACTGTAGGCTAACTATACTTCGCGCTTGTAGTATAAAGATAAATTACTATGTATGATAAGTATTGTGAGAAATTCAGACACTTGCCTAAGCTGGATAGGACATATATACTCAGTGGACATATGTATCTTATAATATATATATATATATATATATATATATATATATATATATATATATATATATATATATATGTATATATATATATATATATATATATATATATATATATATATATATATATATATATATATATATATATATATATATATATATATATATAGTGTTTGACCCTTTGCGATTATAAATTAAGAGTGCATGGATATATATGACGTTGTCCAGATTTTTAGTTATATTACTGAGATCAGCATAGACGTCTATTTTTAAATCATTCGGCAATTAAATTTTGTTGTTTTCACTTTTATTCATCAACTATCTTCATTATGTATTTGATTATCCTGAATGCGTGTGATCTTTCCTCATGAATTTTTATTGACTTTTTACGTGTGTGTAAATTGATCTTCCAAGTTTTTCACCCGACATGATTGAGTCCAATCTCGCGCAATTATGGAAAGATTTTTATCGCTCAACGTATTTCTCGCCATTCAATCCAATTTCATTTAGAGAGAACTATGCGAATATGTAGCCACTTTTGAGTTTTCGATCGAAGATCGTCCTCGTTTTGGGACAAACCTGTTTTCTACCTGTAGTTGAGCATTCTTGCAACTATATTTAAAATCACTATCCAGTAGATAGCTGCGTATACTATATCTAACCTTCGTAAAACCAGCCGTGGTGATTGTATGTTTGCTAGTTCAGCCACGGTATTAGATATGTTTCACTGCAGTAATCCGGTATTAAGAGTGGTATATATTAAATAATGCATTTATCCCATAACAAAGTTCAATAGTCCACTTCTCGAACAGTCTAGACTGCATGTACAAGTGTCCTCAAGAGAGGTTAAACATGCTTCGCTGCACTTCATTTTACGGTCACTATTTCCTGAAAAATCACAATGTTACATCATGGAGCAACGTTTAAACACCCAGGGCCAGGTCTACTGCTTTCATACAAGCAGACATAAAAAACGACATACTCTTTTTATGAATCTTTACTACTTCAAAATGTCAATTCATTAGTGCGTAATTTGTATGAGGACTGTATTAATTTACTTTAAACATGCAGAGTGTGCCAAGTTGAGCGAATGAGAAATGAACATTGTGTGCAATTCAGGACATGAAATTTATGGACACTTTGCTGTATGATAAATCACTTCAATACTTTACCTCTGACAGCGTTATCGAGAAATCATTATTCATTTAATCGCATATGTATAGCTCAAACTGAGCATAGAACTGAGATGGAAAAACCAACTATATAATGCATTCAAACTTTCAACGCCTCTAAATAAAACACGCCGACACATTTCCACCAATCAGGTCGCGCTATTTCGAAAATATATGCTGTAATTGTGTTTGTAATTTTGATTTAAATACGTTTCAATTTAAACGCATGCCGTGAAACTCTTTATTAACAGTGAGAAAAAGACAACTCGTTATCTTATGCAAATATGGATAGTTTATAAGCACAAAAGCGTGGTGTTCTCAAAATGATTAAAACTAAGCTGTCTGCCCAAATTGCTTCACGAGAATCTTGGTTTATTTATTTCGTTTACTTCGTATTCTCACGATTTTATGCGTTGCACAGCTGGACTGGAAAGTTAACTATTTTCTGTAAGTTTTGTTGCACTATATATACGATACATATAATATACTGCATATATACTGTTATATGTTCATATTCCTCATACGTCTGAACATATTCCATACTCAGTTTCTATATATAGGCTGAATCGCTGCAGGCATATATATATATATATATATATATATATATATATATATATATATATATATATATATATATATATATATATATATATATATATATAGCTATACAACTTTTCGCGAATTTATTTTTGTTGCATTTTTTGAACGTGGATACTGGGCACATGCAGTTTGAGAACTATGATAAATATAATATATAGTGCATGTATAGTCAGTTATCATCTATTTCAAAGGGGATGTTGAGTAGAAATGAATTCACTGCATGTATAGCCGTGTAGGGTATATAGATTACTGGGGCCGGTTGTACGAAGGCTGGATTGCGCTATCCACCGAATAGTGATTTTTTTAAACGTTCTAAAAATGCTTGAAAAGCAACAAAATTTTAGCTTTGGAAGCAACAATTGTTGAAGAGGATCCTCAATTTAGGAACACTAAGGTTTAATCAAAGTTTCAGCCAACAACGGGCGATTTTAGAGCGACGGAAAAATCCACTATCCGGTGGATAGCGCTATCCGGCTTTCATACAACCGGTCCCTGCAGGGGCCGGTTGTATCAAGCCCGTTTAGCTTAAACGGTGAATAAGTCAAAATTACATAACACTCTTACATCTCTCTTGAATGAGTGAACTTGAATATTACGCACTGAATATGTAGTTGTAAACAGTATCGTTGTATTAAGGTTAAGGTTGCTTGTTGAATGAAACGATAGACTTGCTTTCTATTTTAAACTTAACCACCGTTTAAGTTAAACGGGCTTGATACAAGTTTTTCACCGCCCATAAGAAACGAAAATATTAGTAACAGACTATTAATATCAGGGAGTCAGGGTAGATTTATAGGATTATGCCGGGTTATGGCAAGTAGCCCGGCTGCTCGTGAGTTGAAAAGCGCTTCGGGCATTGAAAAATGCTTTAGGCATTGAGTTTGGTGCCGTTCAAAATTTGTCAAAAATCTTATTAGCTCAATCGCCCCCGTAAGTTGCAGATTAAAAAATAAATTAGGAACATTCTTGAATGGAACAGGCGGCTTATTAGACCCTCCACCCTGTCCACACGTATGCGGATATTTTTAAAAACAGAAGATTTTTTCTCCGTTTTCAAAAAATTCGCGTCCACACAAAGCGTATTCGAATCGTTTTTGCCCAGTCCACACGTAAACGCTAAAACGAAGGAAATTTGATAGCATAATGATAGCACCCAGCGTGGAGCATGCAATTATACTTGAAGTAAACCCAAGTAAAACAGCTATAAAATTTTGGTTCGCCATCTTCGATACGCGCCTTATCGACTGGACCCGACTAACAACGTCATTGTATTCGAAAACCTCCGTTTTCGCCCGTCCACACGTAAACACGAAACCGGCGTTTTCGAAAAACTCCACTCGGGAGAGGGTTTTTGAAAACCTCCGTTTTCGGTTGCCGAAAACGGCGGTTACGTGCGGGCGCAACTGAAGGCCAAAACGGATAAGAAAACCTCCGTTTTTAAAAATATCCGGGTACGTGTGGACGGGGTCTTAGCATATAAAACAGAATTGTTATTCATTTTCCAGGACCCAACAGCAACCAGGTGATTTTCAAGTCGAGTAATTGACTATACACGCATTATAGCGATGTCCGCCGTAAACATAACCAACTCCACTTGTCCTCCGGCATCCGAAGACAGTGATGCCGAAAAAGCTGTTAAAACACTGGCCTACGCTCTCGTTATTCTCATGGCATTTCTCGGCAACGTTCTTGTAATTGGCGTCATTTACAAGAACAAGAAAATGCGAACCATAACAAACTTTCAAATAGTCAATATGTCGCTGGCGGACATTCTGATTACTGTGGCCGCCATGCCGGCAACGGTTTTTCAGATATATCAAGGAAGTCGATGGCCTTTCGGTTTGATCCCCTGTAAATTGGTCGTGTTTCTGCAAGGTATGTTGGCCAATGTTGTATTTCGTGATTTCGTGTGTGTGTCAGGGGCAGAGAACATATTTTATTTTGGGGGCTGAAAAAATTCATCGTGTTGTCTGCCGCCACAAAATGTCAAAAATGCAAATAAAAATTACGAATTTGGACTGTGGTCCATGTATAGTCTCTATTCCCGGTTGACGCACAGTAGGCAAACACAAAGTAACTGTATAGAAACACGGGACTTTTCCCGCCGAACTTGACAAGCGAAGCGATGTAATGAGAATTTGTAATTGAATCGAATTATAGTATTTGTACAAAATCTTTTTATTGAGGTACTTATAAAAGAAATAGAAAACATTTTTTCCTGTGTTTCTATACAGTTATAGAACGGAATGGAAAACACGGAAAATGTTTTCTGTTTCTTAAGACCTAACTGTTATTTACCAGGATTAAAATCAAGACTAAAAGACCTCGAGTTCTTTATTTGCGCGATAAGATACTGATTAGAGAAGTGCGCATGTGCTCCTGTTACTTTTAAGGTTATGCATAAATACGTGTATATAGGTTTACACTACACGTTATATATACTTCAATATTTCGGTAATAATTTCATATTCATAATCCACGAATATAATCCTTGATTCTTATCCTTTAGTATGCCGGTGATAAGTAGTCGGTAAGGATTAAAAGCGAGGATTATATTCGTGGATTCTGAACATGAAATTACTATCAATATTTCTAGGTATTTCAGTGTCCTGTTCAGTCTTCACAATGGCTTGTATTGCAATTGATCGTTTCTGTGCTATTCTTTACCCCTATAAAAAATACATTGACCAACGGCGTTGCAATATTATGATCGGCTTGTGCTGGCTTTTGGCCGTTCTGCTCCAGTCCCCTACATTATACGCGATGAAGATCGCCGTGGTCGCGAACCAAACTACATGCATCGAGGGATGGGAACCACTTTTCGACAACGAATCATCGCCAAAAGTATATACGGTTATCCTATTCGTTTCCATGTATATGCTTCCACTTTTGGTAATAGCGATTCTTTACGCAGCCATCAGTCATTTCCTATGGCGCCACAAAACACCTGGAAGTAGTTTGGTCAAGGCGCGTAAGGATAGATCAAAGGCAGCTAAAGTAATCAAAATGCTTATAATCATTGTCGTCGTTTTTGCTGTGTGTTGGCTGCCAAGCTTTGTGGCTCAGTTCTTACAGTTTTTTGCCCGACCGAGGTGTGGAGTTCCACCATCTCTTTTCTTTATGGGTTTCTTTCTAAGTCATGCGAATTCTGCGTTCAATCCGGCCATATATTGGATATTTAATGATAATTTCAGAGCTGGTTTTAAGCAGTTACTCCGAACGTGGTTCTGTCCTTGGTGGCCTGCGCCACGGTTCAACGATTCCTCTGCCGAGAGCCAGGGGTTGCAGTCGACCGTGCAAAAGGCCTAGTCAGAAACGTCATGTTATGTCACCCAAACCACTATATCCGAAAATACATTGGTTTACGGCCTTTTTAACACAGTTAGTTAGATGTAACCACAGTTAATAGAACATACATGGTTTAGAGACTACTTAAAAGTACAATAGAACTCATTAACTATGTCGGGGAACAATTTATGCAAAATATTGTTCCATATTCGTCACTTGTCTATTGTATTTTGAACAAATAAACCAATAGTAAGGTCTGAATTAACATGTTGTTCAAGTCATTCACTCAAGCCATTGCTGTTGGTTAGTTGGGAAGAAAATACAATAGACATGTGACGGATAAGGAACCATTTTTTGCACAAACCTGGACAATAACATAGATAATAATAATTATTATTATTGTGTTATTGCTATGTTGTACTTTCATCTAGTCTCCAAACCATGCATATTCTAATAACTGTGATGTAACTATAGTTTGATTTCATAATTTCGTACAGGGGTAAAAACTGTCAGTATTTTACTGCAACTTAACGAATTACAATTTTTTTTTAGTCTACCTCCGAGAAAAATGCGTTTAAGGCTCTAGCAAATTATCTTTAATATCTGATGAGTTACGCTTCTCGAGAGTTAATGGTATTTTTCGTTTGCTTGGAAAAACGATATAAAGGTTTTGCATGTATTCATAAATTATTCAGAACAATACAATAGTACAGTAAAACAATTTTCTCGGGGTAAAACCGTAATAAATCTAACATTTTCCTGAATTTCTTGCTTTCTTTCTGTATTTTTCAAAGTAAAACTATCAAAAATCGGTATTTTAGGAGTGTTTCTTCAAATTCTTGAAAACTGTTGAAATCCTAATTTTTAGGGTAAGACCACCCCAAACCCAACATTGTCAATCGGGGAAGGAGGGAATAGTCAATAATTAATCGAAATTTGTTGTCAAAAAAAGAGTTGTCAGAATAAAAAAAAGTTGGAAAAACGTAGTCTCTAAATTCTTGCACATTACTGTGATTAATAAACTGATCCAAAATTTGATTCTTTATGTCATCTTTAGGGTTAGTGATGATGTAAGGTAGGCTTGGCAATTGGGATAGAAGTCAGCCTATTAAAGGCTACCGTCCTACTTATCCTCGTTCCAAGTTTACTAATCAAATATAATCTCGTATCTTTAACTTATGGCCCAGGGTTGGAGTCTACGAGATTGGTCTGAGGTGGCTAATTAGCTAGGTATAAACACAGGAAACGAAGGAAATAGCTCGATTGACCACTTCTTCTATGAATATATTCATATAAGATAATGAATATAAATTTGATATGGAATTCACCGTGCAAGTCTTTTTGTCGCAAATCATAGTATAGTGATTACAGTGACGAGATTGAGCAATATTTATGATCTTACTATTATTTTGCATTGACAAATATGGTGCTATGTGTATAGCTGCCTGTTCTGAATTACTGAATATAAAATAGAATGAATTGAATACATGCCCAAGTTTAGTTAACCCTATAATATAAAACACGAAACGTACTACAATGATATCCCGTGTTGCTTATTGCAATTCAACTATACCTCAAGTGTTGCGGAAGCTGAACCTAAGATCTGATCGTAAATTGTTCCGTAGCCTGCACTTATAGTTATAAGCAGCAATATACATTGCCAATTTTGTTTGTCTACTGTTATATTACAGTTACAAGTCTTGGCAGTTCTATTACTATAAAAGGAAAAAAGAGACGTTTTTCCCACACGATGCAAAGTGTTAGTTCGTCGCTAGGAGCGCTAACCACTCATACATACTTCCTTCGTTTTTGAACATTCTCCAAAAAATATTTTGCATCTTGATGTGATAATGACGTCGTTTCCCCGCGGGTGATGGGCGGGGGATAATTAGGGGTGTGATCTGCTCAATCCAGGTCATACCATTGTCTATATGGGTCAGTTGTCTAGACAGCGCCCTCCTGTGAAACCATCATAAAAGCCGAAGTTCAGTCTAAGACTAAGCAGAAAATACATTCTTCCGAAGCCTCTAACATCAACTACAAAATGTCTGGATTAGTCAAAGCAAAAAAATATGATTGGAAGGACTCGAATTTGGCCTTGTTTGGTTCAGATACGGAGAAAAAGGTACGATTCTCTGTACTTATACTATTTAATAGTGTACTTTTATTTAGTCTTTAATGCTAGCAACTTTAAGATAAATTGTAGCAGTAAATTCCAGAGTTGTTTTGAAGTATTTGTACTTTCTTTGCACGTATTTAAAGATGCCTAACTATGGCTGAAACTCTGCAAAGTTTGATGAAAAAATGTGTAATTTAACTGAATTTAATGCTTAGCAAACCCGCCCTTCCATTTCAGTTGAATAATGAGATGAATATTTGCCTGTGAATTCACAGTTTGGTGTCCCTGTAGGGCGCTGTTATATTTCAAAATATCTCGGTAAAATGTCTGTTTAGGGGTCTCAGATACTTTAAACGCTTGTTTTAGTAAAATATTTTGACATATTTTTATATAATTTAAGCGTCATTTTTAATGTGTTTCCTGGGGGGCGCTAAATAATGTAAACATTCGAAAGTTTAATTTGCTACCTTTGAAATAATGTTGCAACAACGATATTATTCAAGTACTGATAAAATCAGTTATTTGAACCTTTTTTGTCACGATGTACAGCTCTGTGAAAAGTTTAAACGTTTAGAATTGTTATTAGGCCACGTTGAAGCATAATGCTGCATTTTAACAAGCATTATCTCGCCAAATTGTTACAAAATAATAGACCTTTGCTCTTTAATAACTGGTTAAATAAAATTTAGTTCACGTTTAATCTTCTTGACAGGTCAAAAAGGACTCCGCGGAGACAGAACCGGCCTGGAAAGGTGCAGGACAAAAACCTGGCGTCCAGATCTGGCGAATTCAGAAGTTCAAGGTAATACAAAGTATACAAAGTCTAATTATTTTGTGCATTATTCCTGCGTGTTGTGCTATAAAGATTTTTATGTTAAACTCAATTTTATGTTAATTTTGGGTTTGCCCAGACCTCTCATCTGATTGGTCAGTTCTGCTAATAGGACCATATTTGGCAAAGTGTTGAGGGTGTTCTAGAATCCTGAAAGAATGGGCTCTTTATAAACAAATATTTTAATATTTTACTTTTTGTAATGTTTAACAAATCAATGTAAAAAGTAGCTTAAATGTGAAGCACTAAAACCACAAGTACTGCTGATTGCTCAAAAAATCTTTTGGGCTAAATTAATTTTGCCTTAGGAATGAGTTTTATTTGTTGCAACTTGCAAAACCAAAGCATTTAAAAACCCAATTTCCAGCCCACATATGGGTGTTTTCCTATTGCCTGAATAATTTGCATCCCATTTATAGCAAATTCCAAGGGGCCAATGCATAATAATAGGATTTTCGAAAAGTTCTAGAATCAATATTGTTATTTGTGAAAAATACCATGTTGAATAAGAGGTCTTTTGTTTTATATGGTTCCATGGATATTTAAGGTAATGATTAGAAAAAGGGCAATTAAAGTGTGGAAGTTTCAGAGAGGCTGTCTTTTGTTTTTATCTATTAATGGTGGTTTTTTATTAGGTAACCCACCAGCAAAAAGATGAGTATGGAAAGTTCTTCAGTGGCGATTCTTACATCATACTCAATACATACAAAAAACCTGATAGTGATGTAAGTGGTTTTGTGTAATTTTGAATTTCCTGGTAATATCTTGAGAGTCTGATTTCATGCTATACATATTTTTTATGCTAGTTTCTTAAATAGTACAACAGATTGAACATACAATCCAAATACGGCAAATAGTAATGTGGTATAATCATGCAATTGAAACCACCTAATTCATATAGAATTTACAGGAACTTATACTAGAAAATAAAATACTTTTCTAGATGTTCATTGTTCCTGCACATTTAATTAAAGCTTCAGTAAACTAGTGGCTGTTCATTTTAGTTTATTATGTATTGTTATGCAAATTGCTTTACACAAGTGAATCTTCTATGATCCAATTATAAGCAAGACTTTTTGCTGATGCAAAATACAACTACAAACAGAACAATTAAGTTGCCCCTCTAAAAAATAACTGTTCACTGTTGATAGGAATTGCTCTATGATGTTCATTTTTGGATTGGACAGTACTCAACACAAGATGAATATGGCACTGCTGCTTACAAGACAGTTGAGCTTGACACTCTGGTAGGCTCAATTCTTTTAAATATAATGATATGTATATGTTATTTACCAAAATTTTTTTGGTCAGGACATAAATGAAAGATAGACAGATGCCCATCTCAGTGGTAAAAATGTCCCAAGGCTGCTATCTTGCTGGCGAGTGTTTATTGTGTGAGATTGTCCCCTTGCCTTGAGATTGAGACAGTCCCCTTGCCCTTATAAAATTGTTAGCATTTGGTGGAGGCTTGGTAACAAGATGCTCTACCACATCTGAAAATCTGAAATAGCCTCGACCTACACACAAAACAATTTTAAATTCCAAATTTTTGTAATGTTCAACTTTTGTAGCTGGATGACAAGCCTGTGCAACATCGAGAAGTTATGGGTCATGAAAGTGAATTGTTTAAATCTTACTTTGACAGCATCACTTTGTTGGAGGGAGGGTGAGTTACTATGGTTTAACTAAATTACATACATTAAAATGCCTGTGCATCCCTCATTTCCTACATGGATCTGTTACTTAGGTTTAATTCATCCTGCTTGTGATGAATGTCATATTGCCTTGGTGATATTACTTACTTTTTTTTGTAATTCTGTTTGTTAAGTTGTGACTCAGGATTTAGACATGTTAAACCTGAAGAGTATGAACTTCGGCTGTTACATTTCAAGAAGACAGGTGTATGTATTTTTTTGAATGCTTTTTTTGGCCAAAAGAAATGCAAATTATATCTTTTTTCTGCTTTACTAAAAAATTATAATATTGTTGGACTACCTAGTGCAATTCAGTGTCTTCAATGATAATAAGATGAACAGTAGAATATTAGGCTGTGGCTATATAAGAAGCTTAATTTAGGGAGGAGGGGTGTATATTCATATTAATTCATGTTCATGCAACCATAGAAACAATAGCTAACAAAAGAAATCAGTCAGGCATTAGACAAATATATGAATTAAGCTTCTAGCGATGGCCCTGGTAGAACATAACCTTAACTCTTTACCCAATGATCAAGTTGTGTGCATAATTTCATTAAAGTACAATGCCTAATTAGGCATTTACTCCCCCTGCAGCGAAATATAATGTGGTTAGGGAGAATGTTGCATCTAAAGTAGAGTCCTCAAAAGCATAATTCTTTAATAGTTTATAAATCACAATCATTGGCGATGCACTCTATAATACTAAAATATATAAACTACCTTTTCCTTTATTATGTAAAACTTCAAACTCCTACTCTCACAAATTTTTGAGCAAATCACCTTGGTTTTTTTACTACAGACATATGTTTTTAGTACTGAGACATATGTAACACATTCATTATTGTTATTTTTGTTTCTCTGGATTGAACGCTGGTATGGTAGCTAGCCTACATATTTTGACCTAGAATGTCATGAATTCATACAGATCTTTTTACAGATGAATTCAAACAATATTTTTTAGAAAAAAGTTGTATTAAAAGAAGTGCCAGCATACCATTCAAACCTTAACTCTGGTGATGTGTTTATTGTTGACAATGGATTGGAGATATATCAGGTTTGCAAAGTAACCTGTTATAAAAACAATCAGGGGCAGATCAAAACTCATCTGACAAAAGGGGTTCAGATTTTCTAAGGGAGGTATATCGGTGTGCTAGCAAACAATTGCCCAATTACAGTACATTATATAGCACATTTGCACAATGTCAAAAAAAAAGAAGAGGTACACACTCAGTTGGTAAAGTGTCGTCAGTATTTAATATTGTAATTACCAAGTTGCAAGTTGCATTCTTACTCTACACCAACAGCCATATTTTACAATTTTCTAGCCTATAATATAATAAGAGCCTACAGTACATAACCATTTTTTGGGGGGGTTGCTAACCATTTTTTTCTGTGGGGGTGCTAAAGAACTTTGGGGCAGTGTGCACCACACCCCTGAACCCCCCAGAAAATCTGCCCCTGAAAACAATATTAATACTTTATTATCCTCTGCCATGATTATAGCATGCAGGGTCCCAGATTAACCAGGATTATTATTTACATGAGTATTATAGAAATTTGTGTGGTATGTGTACCTACTCTATTACTTTTTACAGTGGAATGGTAAGACTTGTAGCAAAGATGAAAAATTCAAAGCTGTACAATACCTACAAGAATTAAAGGTAAGATATATTTTTTGACTTTGTAAATAAAGTAATCTTATTGGCTGATGAATTGTGAAATACGACTGTTGTGAAAAGTATTTTTTATGATTTTTTTTCGCCAACAGATACTTTGTTTTTTTAATTTGCTGTGATTTAGTGTTATGTGGTAACAGGTTATTTACCAAATTTCCCAAATTTGTATCTATTGTAGTCAGACAGAGGCGGAAAACCAAAAGTGGAAAGTCTTGGTAAGTAGATTTTATAAACACATCAAAGGAAGAGATGAGAATAATGGTTACAAAGTTCAGAATGATGAAGAGTTGTTATAGAAATGTGACATTGGTATTCTGGCCTCTGTTAGATGAACGGGAGATTTCGACGAGCCATAAATTTTATTCTCTGCTTCAAGAAGGTGATGCACCAGGGAATGATGACGTAAGTGAAAACTGTACTGCAGGGGTCGGGTTGGGGTCGGGTTGTACGAAAGCTGGATATCCCTATCCATCGGGTAGTGGCTTTTACAATCGCTTTGATATAACCCGTTGTTTAGAATACATGGTCATGGATTAAACCGAGTTTTCTTAAATGAGGGTTTCTCTTTAATAACTTTTATCTTAAAATCTGCAATCTCATTATCTGCAATCTGTAATCTCAATCAACTTTCTACGCATGTTTTGAAAAAGTTCACTATCCAGCGACTATAAGCGCTATCCAGTTTTCGTATACAACCAGCCTCAATATGACGTAAGCTCCTATATCTACCGCATTGACCAGGCTGCTACTTTACTTCTTAGCTTCCACCCCAAATTGTACTTGCCATTGCATGATTACTTATACTTGTTATTCGGCTTATGAGAAATGAAAAAAAACTAACATTATCATGTTCAAATTGGAAAACATGGAAAACCTGAAAAATTACCCTTAAAATCGGGTTGGGGGCGCGAGCGTGAGCCCCCCCCCCTTGATTTTCACTTGTTCTTATTAATTTTCACGGTTTCACCCTTAAGGGCCCTTAAGTCTCTTTTTCTGCATTGTGATCATCCTCATCAAAAGCGAAAATATGACCTCAATTTTTGTTTTTCTGCATTGCGATAAGCCCATATCCTGGTTTATGCTTTTATCGCAACGAAAGCTGAACTCTTTACAATACTGACTGATCAAACATCGTGTAACCGCAACTATTCGTCGTCAAATTGTAATATTCGAGTTGTGTTGTTTTAATTTCTAGGATGACGATGACTGTGATAGCTTCAATCCCTCACTTTTCAAGTAAGAGTTTCCACTTTATTTTACTGTTGTCTAACTTAATTTGGCATCAAAACTCGCATTAACTCTAAATGGTTAGCATCCAAGGACGGCGGATGATCGTTCAGTAAGGGGGCTTATATTGATATATTCAAGTTCATATAGTTCCTTTTGAAAATGATTGTTTTTACAGGCTGCTAACATAAATGTATATGAATTTTTTTTTCCTGTTGTGAAAACAGTATTACTTCACATTTGGTGCAGAATTCGTGTATCTTAAGGTCCCTAAGTCAGAAAATTTTAAATTGACTTCACGCATTGTGCGCTCGAAAAGTAAAAAGGAAATTTTCTTTTCGTGGATTCCATGAAATTGACTATTTGCACTGTCCTCTTTTAACTGTCAAATTGTACACTGAAAATTGACAACATTATTGACTACAGATTGAGTGACGAAGGTGGCAGTTTGGAAATGACATTAGTGAGTGAAGGAAGTATTCCCAAAGACATGTTACGAAGCGATGATGGTAAGAATTTGTGTGCCTTGGTTGTCTTGTGTTTAGCCTTATGTAATAACTGTGGTGATCGTAATTAACCTAGTCAACTCTAATAAAAAAAAATGGAACGTTAACTACTGGTAAACGTGCCCTCATTCGCCTAAAATCAAAATTGTTTTTCTCTGAGTTACGAGCTGAAATACCTGTGGAAACGTCAAGGCTTTAATTTGTGAAACAGATAAATATTAAAAAAAATCAAAAGAGAACTGCGATTCAACGAAAAAGACGAATTATTGGCCATATCCTCCTATGTATCTAACATCGTCAATTTTCTATAGAAAATATTTTTTTATTCGCTTCAGTGTCATATACAGCACAAGGTTTTGTGTTAGGTATTTTTTTTTAGAACTCAAAAACTGAAAGTCAAGGGTGTTGTTAATGGCACAATGTTGTGAATTGTGATAGTATCGTTAACAGTAGAGGTTGTCCATCGCAATTATCGCTTCTCTTGTTTAATCACCACACAAAGGCTACATTCACGACCCAACGTTTCGACGTAATCTTTGTGTGGTGATTACTTTCATTAATTAAACCAGAGTAGTGATAATTGCGATGGATTATATTTTTGGTTACCGTGAGCTTATTAACTTCAATTAGTAGGGATTGTTGATCAAAGAGTGCGTCGTGCGCTGATTATACCATCACTTTCTCCCTCTAGTATATATTGCCGATACTGGCAAAGCAGTATTTGTTTGGGTGGGCAATCGTGCCAGTGAAGGCGAGAACAAAAATGGGTTAACGTATGCACATGTAAGTTAAAACTTTAAATCTTTATTCCTTAACATCACTCAACATGCTGAATAACTCGATCAGTTTTTAACTCTTCTCCCTAAATGTCCATGTAAGGGTGATCTTATTGCAATATTGGTCATAATGTTAACAATAATTAAAGTCCGTTTGAATGACGCTGTTTAATTGTTGTGAAATAGATTCATGTGTGTTTGTGTTAAGACATTCAAGATTCAAACGTGACACATTCAAGATCATTGCTAATCCACTGCTACTGTAGTCTCTAAACGACTCTGTCCAAGTTGGGATATAAAGCTAACTTTTTTCCATTTAGAACTACCTTCTAAAATCCAAGCATCCTTTGGTGCCAGTGACTGTTTTGAAAGAAGGACAGAAGAATGCAGCTTTCGAAAAAATACTGAGTTAGACAATGAAAGTGTGACTCCTACAGAAAATCACTGGTAGATCAAAGCTACCGATCAGTTTAAAATATTTGAATAATACATTAATTTTAGTAAATTTACTAATATCACGTACCTTATGTATCATTTTAAGTCAATAAAGTAATTGGCTGCAATTAGATGACGGTCGTATGTCTTCATATCGGACTCTGTCAGTTTGGCCTGGTTGTACAATACAGGCACGTACAATTTTAAAACGTTAAAAAAATAGTTTTCCCACTAGTGAACTCTGACAGCAACTGGAGGGCCGGGGTGGTACTGCCAGGGGTGGAAGCCGTTGCTTTTTAGTTTTTCAGGTGTTATTGATTATAGAAAAGTACTCAACAATTGAAAAGTTCTATGGGATAGAAATTTTCTGACTTCCGAAGGGCGAAAATATTTGAAAACTACAAAAATATTCCTGTGTGAATAATTTGCAATTATACCGAACTCATTACACTCACACAATGGTATAGGTTATACCGCAGTTAATACTTAACTGTGCTTATACTTTAACACTCTAATTTACTGTACATAGAAACCATAAAATTACTCACGAGTGCTCACTAATTTTAATGTCTCACTCCTTTGTTTATGCTCTTTCCGTCTCTCAACTTCTCAGTTCTATTTTTGTCAATTAAACATGTCTAGTAACGTTATTCATTCGTTTAGTATACAATGATCGTCTTTGTATTTTATATTTTTTCGAAGTTTCTGAAATTTCTGAAAAGTTTCTGAAAGAGACGTGCCCTGCAGGAAAATGTGTGAAAATGAGGTATATACCGGGTGTCCCGGCAAAAAAGTACCTATTTTTAATTCAACATATATAACTTACAAACGAGCTACAGAATTACAGTCAAATAATTCTGAATAAATAAAAATAGATATTTTATTTGAGTAATGTCTAACTTAATTGAACGAGTAGTTTCGGAGATATTAGCGTTTGAGAAACAGTAACGTTTCGAAATTTGTCAAAAATCAGCAAAAAAAGGACAGTTAAATTTGTTTTAACAATACCGGTTCGTAACATGGTTTCTTGTAACTTATTTTTTAATTTTTTGAGAAAATTCGTTTTTTACTTGTTCTTACTCATCAGCAAATGCATGTCCTCTGGGGCTTTTTAAAACAGCAGATTTCAGAAGTTCCTCAGGAACAAAAACGTCACAACTTGGGAGAACTTCGCGAGGCGATTGTTAGGTCATGTCGCAATTTGGACGGCCACATGATTCAAAGGTCTTTTGATAGCATGCTGACAGGGCCGGCAAGATCCGCAATTGCAAGAAAGTGTGTTGTTGCTGGTCGACATGTCGGACATGAATTTGCAGATGAACAAGAACAAGTAACGTTATTGTGTCTTTAAACGCGAATATCTCCGAAACTACTCGTTCAAACTTCATATGTAATATATCAAACTTTAAGCTAGACATTACTCAACTAAATATGGATTATTTGATTGTAATTCTGTCGTTCGTTTGTAAGTTATGTTGAATTAAAGATAGGTACTAGGTCATTTTTTGGGGGACACCCGGAATATATAACCACACCCCTTCCCGGTTCGGGGACCTGTAGCAATTTTCAGTGCGGGGGGCCTTCCCCTCCACCCCCGGCAGGTGCGAATAAGGGATTCCGTCACCGCGATAAAAAGTTTTAAAAACCCCAATAAAAACATCGTGATGTGAAACAGAAACTTCAAATGCATGAAAATTTGGTTTCCAGAAATAGGTGAAACCCCTGATGAAAACCAGTCAACAAAGTGGAAACATTATTTGCACAATTTTCGTCGTTGATTCGGAGTTCGTACTTTCTAACAATATTTCCTTATATCCCTTTCCGAATTGTCCGGCTTTCAATGAATAAATATGTCTAAAACGAGTACAGTGGTTGTACAGGAAACACAAACGTCACCTGCAAGTTTAAGGAAAAAGCCAGCTAGTACAGTTTCGGAAATATTTGAAAGTCTGAACTACGGCCCAGCACCAGAGTCCAGTATGCCGGCCGAAGGATGGCTAGATGATCATGGTCGAGCTTTTGGACATTTTATTGATGGAAAATGGGTAAAACCCGAAGGACGAAAAGTCTATGAAACGAAAAATCCTGCAACAGGTTAGTCTAATTTGTGGTGTTTTAGATGTTCTATGCCCATTATAGAAATTTGTGTTAAAGTGTGTGATGTGTACTGTACTTTAACACGTGTCAAGTTGATGTATCAATTAGTACTAAATACCTGTATTATGAAATGTTTGAAGATTATCAATTACGGTGTCTTTGAGGACAACTATTTACTCATGTGAAACAGTGTATAAGAATATGTATGTCCAATGCAAGCATGGACAGATATATGCATGTCAGCCCCATGCACAGTGGGGAGCCAGAGTTGTATTGCAATTATTGCAGAACGCTTATGTTTAGAGCATTGTCAATAAGGCAAATTACTTGATATTGAGGGAATTTGAAGACTTGGTTTTAAAAACTGTTTTATGACATACTGTAGTATGTGGTGCAGATCAGCAGATGCAGATGCACATACTCAGGCTGGGTGGGGTGCTGCCTCTGCCTTTTACCATGAAGGGTAAGGGGAGGAAAGGTACACTTTGAGTTGTCAGTAACCTTAGTAGCCCGTGCATTTTCTTTATGCATTTGCCTAAAAAAGTGCTTAGAATACAGCCAATGAGCTTTATAGGTGGATGCCTCTATCATTATGTGAAGTTGAATTATCTGTTTTGCAAGTATTTTTTGTATTTATCCAACATTCCTTAAAATTCTCCCCCTCTTGCTTTCTGATTTTTTTCTAGCTTTTCTGGGCAGAGGTGTTGCATTTTGTTGGTATATGAGGCATGACCTTTTTTGGGTGATTTGTAAGGGGGGAGAGCATAAACAAATTGGTCCTAAATAATATGCAGGAGTTCTAAAGCGTTCTGGGCGACTTTCCCCAATCTCGTTCCCCCAGGCTCTGGGATGTTCGAAATCAGAAATAAATGATTCTGATTGGTCGTCCAACACATTGTTTCAAATCAAAATACAAAAAACTGTTATAAACCGAAAGCCAGGATTTCTGGCCTCCAGTTTGGACTATCCCAGAGCCTTTGTTTTCTCGCCAGAGGAATCTCGAGCTCGGGGAGCGACATATATTGGACTTTCCCATGAATTTTTTTGTATATTTTTGTCCTGTACTGACAAATCCATCTTAGCAGAGTAAGGTTTGTTGAGAGAATATAATTAATTTTTGAATGTTATTTGACTATCTCTTCGCAATCTACCACTTCCTAATCTCAACAAAAACTGCACCATGCAGTCACTACTGGAAAAATATTTCGCTTTTTTGAGTAGGGTTTAATATGAATAGGAAGAGCTATACAAGTAAATTGGATATAACTAGGTTAGGCAGAAGAGCTTTGTGGCTCTTTTCTGATACTCCAATGTGATTATCCAACAAAATGTCATGGGCAATGGTACAGCATCATTTTGATAAAAGTGTTCATGAGGATATGCTCCGGTAGGTGGAAAACTTTCTGGAACACGGATCCCAACACATTTTCTTTCGTATGTTAGGTGAAAAAATTGCATCCACAATTCAGGGTGAAAAAGAGGACGTCGACTTGGCCGTTGCCGCCGCTCGCAAGGCGTACGACTCGTGGAGCAAACTTCCTGGACACGCACGAGCACGTCATTTGTACAGCATCGCTCGGCACGTGCAGAAGCACATGCGACTGGTTGCAGTCGTCGAGAGCATGGACAACGGAAAACCGATCAGGGAATCTCGAGATTGCGACATTCCAAATGTTATCCGCCATCTCTATCACCACGCCGGCTGGGCAGAGCTCATGGACACCGAAATGAAAGGTATGCGACTTGTCCGGTGGTGATTTACAGGGGGGAGGGAGCTCGGAATGAGGAGTGCTCAGGGTATATATACCTCCTGTAGACCTTGGCCACCAGGGGCTAATTGTTCGAAAGGCGTTTAGCTTTAACGGTGGATAAGCCAAAGTTTGACTATCATTACATCTTGTGAATGGCTGACGTCCCTACATCTTCTACTTTAATTATGTACTTCCATTGAAAATGAAACTATTTACATAGAAGTATTTCAACTCAGTTGTTGAATAAATATATCATTTTGTTTTCCATTTTGAACCTATATCCGCCGTTTAAGCTAAAATTAAACGCCTTTCGAACAACCGGCCCCAGAATTGCAAGTTTCATGTGCTCTGGAGAAGAGAGAGGTAGAATACCACCTACAATGGATCTCCACATTCGAGATCAACATGATTATGATATGCTCATCCCTATCTTTATAGATTGGTCTTCAATAGGCGTTGTTGGTGCCATTGTTCCCTGGAATTTTCCACTCATGTTACTATGCTGGAAGGTGTGCCCTGCCTTGGCGATGGGTAACACGGTGGTCCTGAAACCAGCAACGTACACACGTCTCTCAGCATTGCTGTTTGCCGAGATTTGCGCCGAGGCTGGCCTCCCCCCCGGTGTCTTCAATGTTGTGACGGGAAGCGGCAGCCTGGGAAGTCACATCGTTTGTCATAATGATGTTGATAAGGTCGCTTTTACTGGATCAACTGAGGTACGGTAAACAATGAAGTATTTGTAAATAATTAACAATTATTCGATATGGAATAGCGAGACGAAGTCGAGGCATTGAAAAATGTGGCTAAGCAGCGTTCTGCAGCGTATTTTTTTACCCCGAAGTAATTTTAGGCCAAATGGTTTCGCTTTTTTATGCTTTTAGGTGCAGTAATTTCGTTCAATTACGTAATTACTAAATTAATTATTTACACATAAAAAAGTAGAATTTTTTTACAAGTTAACATGTGTCATACATTATTATTGTTTTATATAGTTCGATGTATATGTATGTAGCATACTTATTATAGAGATTGTACTCTAGCTACTAACCATGCCGTACCATGTCAGTTTACTTTAAACCGTCAACCACTTATCGTAAGGTATTTTGCTGCAGGTTGGACAAACTTTGCGACGACTTACAGCTGGTACTGGCAAGAAATTGTCTTTGGAGTTAGGAGGAAAATCTCCATTTGTCGTATTTGACTCGGCAGATTTAGACAGCACTGTCGAGGGCATTGTAGATGCGATCTGGTTTAATCAAGGACAGGTATATTCTTCTGCTTGCTTATATTTTTTTTTCATTCTAAAATTGGATATCAATCGTCCGCTTCAAAGCCAGTCAATTCATTTCTGACCATTTTCTTTTGTGCAGGTCTGCAGCGCTGGATCGCGTCTTATCGTCCAAGAAAGTTGTTCAGAAAAACTTATTAAGAAAATCAAAGAAAGAATGTCACACCTCAGGCAAGGGGATTCGCTGGATAAATGTGTTGACATGGGAGCAATCGTGGATCCATCGCAAAAGAAATCCATCGACGAGTTTGTGCAGGACGCAAAAAGCACTGGGGCAGAGGTAATATGACAATGATTGATTCATAGGAATATATATTGGCTAAAATTCTATTAAATTAAATCTACTTTCTTTTAAAACAGGTATTTCAAAGTTGTGCTTCAATGCCAGATGCTGGCTGTTTTTATCCACCAACTTTGGTCACGAATGTTCAACCTGTTTCGAGAATCGTGCAAGAGGAGGTGAGTATAGTTTAACCATTTCTCAGGTTTATTGCATGTTGTTATAGAAATAGATGGAAACTCTAACTGTGCAAAGAAAATATATTGATTCACCATGAAATATGGATCCATCATAGAGTCCTTTTGTCGATGTAAATATAATTAAGGTTTTAACGAAAATTGTGGAATATCGTAGAAAAACAAATCGAAATTAATTTCTGACTTTGAAACAACCCAATTTAACAATTTCCGGAAAATCAACCATACAAATTGTTTTGTTGTTAATTGGCAAACTTTTTGTTTGGTGATTAATTCGCCGATATTTAGTTAGAAAAGTTAGGAAAGAATATTTGACGACGTAACAGTAACATGGTTTCCTGAAAAATATCGGTGCGTTTACACTCCCTTGAATTTTCCAGGTTTTCGGGCCAGTTTTAGTTGTGTTGACATTCCGTACGGCAAAGGAGGCAATTGCTTTGGCGAACAATACAATCTATGGCCTAGGTTCAAGCGTCTGGAGTGAGAACATTGGCCTGGCGATGGAAGTCGCCCGGTACATACGTGCTGGATGCGTCTGGATCAATGGACACAATATGTTTGATGCCAGTGCCGGGTTTGGGGGCATGAGACAGAGCGGGTTCGGTAGGGACGGAGGAAAAGAGGTGGGTGAAAATAACAATAGGTTGTAGCTATGTCTGGTGTTCGCCTATCGCATGCGGTGGTGCCAGTGACCTGTACTACAGTTTCCATAGTATAGGGTGCTTCATTGTAAGCGTGTAGTTATGGGAAGCCACGGTTTATATCTGAACCACCTGATAAACGGATGACTCCAAAGTTGTAGTCTTTGTAGAGGTGCTTGTAGTTTGTCAGCTTGAATTGCCTGAAAAGGACGGGAAAATATTAAAAGTCTTGAAGTTCTCTGAAAAGGTTTTTTTGTCATACGTTGAAAAGTTTTAGAAATGGTAATATTTTGCTATGAAATAGTCGGACAAATAGTTGAATTTCGGGTGAACATGCAAGTGCTGAATAAAAAACGAGCTTGTCAATCTATATTGGCAGAACATGTTAATAAAATGATGTTGGGATGTCGTAGGCACGAGTCTGCTGGATGTTTTTGTTTAACTTGCGTGCATCTAAGGTATGAGCTACCTGTACTTCATGTAGGGATTATACGAGTACGTAAAACCTTCGTGGCAAAAACGTGCCCGACCAGATGTTGCTGATTACGACACTAAGAAGTTTGGTTCAACTTCTCCACCGAGACCTAAGGACCCCACGGTGAACCCACCATTATGCAATGGGACGGACAAAAACGACCATTTACCCAGGTATAACTCAGTTATTCTGATAATTGTTATTAGATTTGGATTTGGTTTGCTTGCTTTATGAATGCATGTCCATAAAAGTGCTTCTTTCCCGATTCAATGTATCATCTGTGTTTGCTGTCCATCCACTGAAATCCCGTTTACTGATTTGGTTTGTGTCACGTTTGAGAAGAGCGATTCGTGTGACTTTTGTAGGTTTCTCTGTGCGATACCACAATGATAAGTAATGATAGTTTATATACTGTGTGTCTTCAGTAAACGCCTGTATCATTTAAAAATATATTAAGTTATATAGAGCTATCGAGTACTGTTAAATTTGTGTCCTTGCAATAAACCCCGATCAACACGAGATAACCCTCACCACACATCCTACCACCTTTCCCATTACAGCATTGACCACACGTACAAGAACTATATTGGGGGAGCTCAGAAGAGGCCTGATGCGTATTATGGTAGACCAGTACATAACGACAAAGGACAAACTGTTGGTGTGGTGGCCGAAAGCAATAGAAAAGATGTCAGAGACGCCGTTGAAGCAGCCAAGAAAGCATCTGCCGGGTAAAGTAGATATTCTTTTCGAAATAGACTGAAATGATTATTACTTTTCACAATAAAGCTGTGACCAATCCCAAGGGAGGACAAAACATAACTAGCTATTTTCCACCAATTTTAAAATTCGCTCTAAATTTAGGTTAGAACTTTCTTTTAACAATACACCTTATGTGATACAAAATTTCAGACCAATTCTAATTTCCAATACTTAACAACTGACTTCAGGTGAAATGTAAAATAGGCAGTCAGAAGTAGTAGGAGTTGAAATTGAACCTGTGCCCGGTACATCAGTATTGTTACACTTTTTCCATAGATGGTGTAAGAAGTCCAGCCACAGTAGAGCACAGGTTCTATACTATATCGCAGAGAACATGGAATTACGTCAGCAGGAACTTGCGCAAAGGATATGCGCAATGACAGGACAGAGTGCCGATGAGGCAGAAAAAGAAGTTAAGATGGCCATACAACGTGTGTTTCACTGGGCTGCTTATGCTGATAAATATGGGGGAACAGTACAGGTGAGAATAGATAGCTTTACTAAAGTAACTTCATTTATGCTGGATAAAGTTCTATAAGCTTTCTCTGGAGGTCCAGTAAGAATAAACTTCTGTTGATCCACTGTCATTATCTGGGGTAACTTTAACTAAAACTAACTTCATTTCTACCAAATTACTGTGCTAACCAGTAACCCTAACCTGATCTACATAGAAGTCTGATAAGTCTTAAAAATCCAGTCGTATTGACCTTATCAACTGTACTGCTCAGTGAGAACCTGTAGTATTTTGTATAGTCAAACTGAGGGCAATCCCAAACGAAATTATAGTCAGACAAAGTCAGCGTTTTGGCATTTGGCAAGACAGAAATTCAGTGAAGTAGGCACACGACATTACTTTTCATCTCACACAATCTCTGGTAATTATCGTTTACGCAGGAAACAAGCTGGTATGGTACAACTATCAAAGTCCACGAAGCGGTTGGTGTTGTCGGTATCGCGTGTCCAGATGAGTTTCCACTTCTCGCCTTTGTGTCTCTTGTGCTGCCTGCGATCTCTCGTGGGAATACAGTGGTGGTAATACCCAGCGAAAAACACCCAATTGTTGGGGCTGATATGTACCAGGTTTGTGCCTTATATCGTAGAAATTAGACGTTATGGACTAGACTTGCCGTTGATTTGAACAGTACTTTTCACAGAGTTCCTATCATATCCCCCATTTCTTTGGGATGCAGTGTTCTGACAATAAGAAATAAAAACAAACTACATGCACTTATTAAAAAAGCTTCACTATTTCTATATTGGAGTCTCTAAGAATTTCCACGAATCATATCTTATTGATGCTGTCTTAAGTAACACTGGGTAAAGTCTGACCTGAATTGCCCAAACTAGTGGCACGTCATCAGACCATAAAAACATCCATCAAAATAGAATTGGATTCAACAAAGTTGTATCGTGTGAACAGACGTTTAATTTAAGCAGAAAACTATGAGAAAAAACTGTACAGTACAGGATCAGACCCACAAAGATCATCCATCACCATCACCGTAGGCTTGTAACAGACTTATTATGTCTTTAGATATTCGACACGTCAGATCTCCCTGGTGGAGTGGTCAACATTTTGACCGGTGATCGTGATCACGTGACAAAGTACCTGGCCGAGCATCAGAATGTCGACGCGATGTGGTACTTCGGGTCCGCGGAGGGCTCGAAATTCGTCGAATCCATTTCTGCAGAGAACGTGAAACGCACGTGGGTTGGGTATGGCGAGCCACGCAATTGGTTAGATAATGAACAAGCGCAAGGTCACGAATTTCACTATCATGCTGTAGAATGTAAAAATATATGGATTCCAATGGGACATATTTTTGCAAACTGAGGCGTATTTGCAGAACAACATTGGATACATGGGAGTAATTCGATTACATAATTGGCCGGGAACCTGAATCAAGTTGTGTTTTTTATCAAATGAGTCGTATAAAAATCTGTGAAAAATGAAAATTAGTTTCATTCAATTATATTTTCATAATTTTGCGCAAACTGTGCAAACTTTACTTTGCTTTCGACATAGCGGAGCATTATGCACAGCAATGAAGAGAGTTTGTAATTTTCCCTCTTCTCATCAAACCCTGCGCTTTTTCATTTGATTATTCTAAGATTCTCATTCGATCGAGATTGTGAAAAAAGCAACCATATCGTCCATACCTGTCAAAAACGAAGCCAGCCAGCCAGGATTATTAATGCACTTCAGAAGCCTATTTAACCACTAAGAATTAAATTAAAATTCCAACCCCCAAAATGGTCTTTCTGAGTAACTATGCAGTTTAATGATTACGAATTGTAGTAGGTCAGGCAGTTCTGCTTTTTTCGGTGTTCTGGGTTTGCGTATTTTTAAGTTCATTATTTTGGCATAGACGCAATATCCAGTGTATTGTCAGATCAGTGGGCAATGCTCATTAAAAATTATTGAAGAAGATCGAACAGAAAGAACTTTTGCTCATTCGCACTTCCTGTTCCTGTTGGTCAAGTACTAATATAATTCTCTCCCAAAAATTAAAAGTAATAAAACTTATAAACTTCATCAGCATGGCTACAGCTCTAGAACAGCTAAAGCAATATACTACCGTGGTTGCAGATACAGGAGACTTCAAAGGTACTGTGTTTTGCTTTCTTTTATTGGTATTAAAACGTGCTGGTGCTGACAATCGGTATCATTTTGCAGCAATTGATCAATTTAAACCAACTGATGCCACAACAAATCCGTCCTTGCTCTTGGCTGCTTCAAAAATGCCCGAATATAAACACATTTTGGACGCAGCTATACAATTTGGAAAACAGAATGGAAAGTAGGTTGAGGTGTAAATTTTTGTTCGTAATTTAATATAGTGGAATTATACAACTTGGAAAGTTACAAGCATCGAGATTTTTGTCAGTTTTCATTCCATCTTTTTTGAGTACATCTGTAAGCTTGTTATTTTGTAGATATGTTTATAGAGTTTTCAATAAAAGGCTGTTATTTTCTTAATAAAGTACAATTTGAGTACAAAATTTCCAGATTTAGCTAATTTGAATATTACATAATTTCAGTTTTATCAAGCTGTTTTGTCTTGTTTAAAATATTAATAGCATATTAATATAAAGAAATTAAAATATCATTCAGGTATATTTAACAAATAGCTATTGTGCACCAGACCAATCCTAAACTGGTGGCCAGGACCAGTGGATCCAGGTCATAAATTTGGGAAAGAATTTCCTATTATATACACTATATGTTGAACTTCCATTATTTCTTGTTTGCTTCAAATTTACTATATTGCCATAGCAGTATAAAGTTTGTTCAGAAAAATTTTACCCATCTATTGCACATATAGGGATAAAAATGAACAAGTTGAGATGACAATGGATATGTTGGTAAGTATGAGGATATCTATTAATATCAATATTTATCTGATTGATTGACTTTCAATTGGTATAAATCCACTATCACCTTAACATCACCTTTAGTATGTGTTGTTTGGAAAAGAGATATTAAAAATTGTTCCTGGCCGGGTTTCAACTGAAGTGGATGCAAGGTAAAATCATATATTGGAAGTGAGAGTCTTGATGTATACACAGGATAAGCTATTATCTTTTATTAACTTAAATTTATTTTCCAGACTGTCATTTGACGTTGAAGGACAACTAAAGAAGGCTCGTCGTTTGATTCAACTTTACGAAAAAGATGGCATTAGTCGTGAAAGAATTCTTATAAAGCTCAGCTCAACCTGGGAGGGGATAAAAGCTGCAGAGTAAGTTTAGGCAACAGACTGGTTTGTAGTACCTATAGAATGATCACCAAATGCCAAATTGATTATTATTTTGCCTAATCATCTTTTTGCCTATAGAGGTTTTACCATATGCACCCCAGGACTACAATATAAAAAATACAGATCGTATTCCTGGGATGCCTAATTGCCTATGGTTTTACAACCACAAACAATTGCTATAGTAGGACTTAGTTTTTTAATATTGATTAAATAAGACACCCAGATGTTTTTATTTAGCTTAAGCATACTGCCCATAGACCTTGTTTTAATAGCCCCCTTCTATAGCTATAGCTTTTTTAAATCCCTAACTCTTTACTCCAATACATTTTAGAGTTTTAGAAAAGGAAGGAATTCATTGCAATATGACTTTACTTTTCTCTCTTGCTCAGGTATTGTATATATGTAAAAGTTTGTTTTTTAATTAACGAATTCCCCATTTTTTGCCTGCAACAATCTCCAAACTTATTTCTCTACATCTGACCCAAATGTTATTTCAGGCTGTGTCATGTGCTGAAGCCCAAGTGACTCTAATCTCTCCGTTTGTCGGACGTATCTTTGACTGGTTTGTAAAAAACACCGATCAGAAATCCTTTGCACCAGCGGATGACCCAGGTTTACAATATTTGCTATTGAATTGAGAACAGCATAGAAGTGATAGAGCTAGTCAGACAGTTCGTCCCTTTTGTTCGTTTCCTTCCATACTGACACTGGATCCAGAGCTCTAAATCTAGAATAATGTAATTTGACATTAGATTTGGGTCGAGTCCCTCTCTTCCTTTTGAGACCTCAGTACCACGCGTTGATCAATAAGGAGCGAGTTATGAGCTTACAGAATTTGTAAAAATGTTAAAGTTATTCAATATTTTCCTCCAAGGTGTGAAAAGCGTGACAGGAATCTACAATTACTACAAGAAGTTTGGATATAAGACAGTTGTTATGGGAGCGTCGTTTAGAAACACAGGACAGATAACAGAATTAGCCGGATGTGATCTCTTGACAATAAGGTACGATGAAAACACTTTGACGTGCAAACCAACCTTTAAAATCTTCCTCGAAGCGATCATTTTGAACACTTTACCAATTCGTTTTCTTGTAGCCCAAAATTATTGGAAGTATTGAGTGCATCAACTGAGACAGTTCAACGGAAATTATCCCCAGAAGCTGGTATGTCATTTAGTTCAGTTTCCAATTTCTGTGTGTCGGTTTAGGGGGGAAAAGTATTATCACGGATGACAGGGGCGTGGTAACCTCCAACTTAAGCGTTCCCCTCCAACTTTCAAAGCGATAAAAAAAAATTCCGTTTGAAGTGTTTGCATTGGACCTGAACCTGCACCTCTGATTTCTGAGGTTATTTGCCTTTAAAGTGTTCATGACTTGTCAATACGCAACAAACCTAGGGAGTCACCGAACTCTTTTGTTGTTTCATTTCAGCTGCAAGTGTGGACATAGAGAAATTACATTTGGATGAAAAAGCGTTCAGATGGTTACTCAACGAAGACGCGATGGCGACAGAGAAACTCTCGGAGGGAATTCGAAAATTTGCTGCAGACTCTGTGAAACTCGAGGCAATGATCAAGGAGAATCTTTGAACGAACAGCGATGTGTAGCTCTGAATTTAATTTAAAATGCTTAAACCACCGATATAGTCCTACATTGAACTGGTTGTTGGAAAGTACATAGTAAAAGAGGAATTACAATTACTAGTAAATATTTTTCATTGTAATCTTTATAAAGGCAAAACGCACATGTGATCACAATAGTAAACTAAAATTCTCACCAAAACATCTCAATGTTTGTGAGCTATGTCGTGTTTCATGCAATGATGGAGCCTTGTCTATATAGTACGTTCGCCGAATACCCACGATTTTGGACCCTTCCCTATGTGTGCAAAAAACGTACTCATAAAATCATCGCCAGTCACGCAAAGTTTCCTGCCTGCATAAAAGGCATGCACTCTGCCTGCTGCAGGTTTTAGATAACAAGATGGCGGAACGAAAAGTACTAAATGTAAGTACTCCGTGCATTTAAACTCAAATTTCTGTGTAATCTGTCTATGCAAATAATGCAATAGTCCCTATATCAGTTGTTAATTTAGTATGATTTTTGGGAATTAAAAAAGTCATAGACCGCGGAAAAAAGAACGGATTCAATTATCGAATGAAAACATCAAATTTTATCGTGCACTATTAAAATTATGTGCCCCAGGTTCTTCAACTTTAGATTCTGTAGTATATGGCTATTATAACTGACTGAAACATCCATAAAAAATGTTTGTTAGGCAAGAAACTACATTTTTAGCAAATTGCTTTATAACAGTCTTGATTCATGAGATCGAGAGCTGCAATCTTCGCTAAAATGTTGGAGAAGATTGTAAAAATATTTTTTCTTCTATTTATTGTTGGGCTCTAACGTTTGGCAATGTTAGGCTCCTATGGTGAAGGTTTTACTGGAAAAATACATTATGTAATATGTGCTCCATGAAAGCAGAATGCTACTAGTTATAGTACCTATTTTTTCTAAATCTAGTGCCCATTCAGTCATTCACCATTGTATGCTGTCTTATAAATTTAGGTAATCATTACATATCATATATCATTCTCTTTTAGAAATATTTTCCCCCAGACTTTGATCCTGCCAAGCTTCCCAAACTCAAACTTGACAAACACAGACAATATGTTGTCAGACTTATGGCTCCATTCAATATGAGGTATCTTGACTGCAGTTTAATGTAATGTACTGGGCAGTAATCTACTGTTTCTTAATTTAATAATTCATTAGGGTGCACATGGACTAGGAGCTTGTGTGCTGATTGTTGTTGCACAGATTGTACCAATACTTGTAGTACGGGTACTTTCAAAATCTAACTGTATCTAATATGCTAGTTAGTGGTTTGGCTATGAGAAAATGTCTGAGTGAGCATGTGCTAATCTGCTTATACCACAAAATTGTAAACCATAATACTTTTAAAATCCAACCATATGTAATAGTGGTTTAAGCCTGAAAGATCTCTCTGAGCAGATGGAATATTATGTAAAAAAAATATTATGATCAAAGTTGATCTTCAAGAAAAACTGAAGAAGAAAAAGTCAAAGAATATTAACTGCCTTGCATAACATGTGTAGCAAAGTTAACATACTTTTACCATATACTTATTTATATGCTAAAGATTCATACACACTAAACATTGTAAATGAATTTCATATATTAAGAAACACTTGCAAAAATCAGATAGGCACATGCATTATCAATGATTCCTGTTCACATGCACCCATGATTTTTGTCCCCCTGAATCATGATTTTAGTTCACGTGAACGTATTGTGTCAGCACCATATGGGGGTAAGGGTTTTAGCTGTACTTCTGACAATAATTGCAATCCATAATTATCTCTAGATGTACAACTTGTGGTGAATATATTTATAAAGGAAAAAAGTTCAATGCAAGAAAAGTAAGAATGAAAAGAATTATTAGATAATTTATATAGGTGTTTGAAATGATGTATATTTTATGCCTTCATCTTTGATTCTTAGGAGACTGTGGATGGTGAAACATACTTGGGTTTGGAAATTTATCGATTCTATATCCGCTGTCCTCGATGTATTAGCGAAATAACATTCAAGGTTTGGCATTTTATGTTTGATTGTTGGAATGGTCAAATTCGCACCATCCCTGAAATATTTGTAAATCCTCCACCCCCAAAAAAGCAAATAATTAGAAATAAAGTAATTTAAAAAGCTGCATTGAAGATTGATTATATATGGGTGAAAATGATGTTGTTTATTCTTTATGATTTATATTATTGTATACAAAACAAAACAACACCCTCCTGAGAAAAATCTAAAAATCGGTTCTTGATTGTTGTTGGTGAAGAATCTTTCAACCTGGGTATCTTGCACAATTTTCAAACATAGCATCGTTTTTAAAACCATCACCAGCAGAGACATGGAATATCAAATTCAAACTCTTTCAGACTCCGAAGCATTTATTTAGTTTTCTTAAGCATTTATTTTATTGTTGATGCCAAAGTGGTGAAAAATTTCAAAATCTCGCTATATAGGGAAAGGCTCTTTGAAAGCGCCATAACTGTTATCGCGTGTTTACTACAGACGATAACTCAGTTTTGATTTTTTTGAATAGCCTGAATAATGGTTTCTTTCGTTCATAGACAGACCCAGAGAACACGGATTATGTTGCAGAGAAAGGTGCAACCAGGAACTTTCAAGCGATAAAACGGGCAGAAGACGAGGAAGAACGACTCAAGAAGGAACGTGAAGAAGAAGAGCTTAATAATCCGATGAAGGTACAAACACTCTCGTATTGTTGAAACTCATCCCTGATCTAGTTGCATAAAATGAGTAACAACATAATGCGTTTTTTGAGTAACAATGGGTTTGTACAGTTTTCATCAGGTTCTAAGCCAGTTCTCAGTATTTTTCTCTAACCTGGGTCTCCGGTCAATTTTGTCGTCGTTTTTGATTGGTGTAGTACGTATATCCAGTGTAGTATCAGACCAATGAAACAATACTTAGATAATCGCATAAGATATAAGACAAGAGGATGTAGAAACAAGGCATTTTCCTAGATTAGAAAATGCGACGCTATTTTAGATGTTCTTAACACATCAACTGCATATCATGTTCCAGTCATATACTGCGTCCCTGGCCCCAGCTCGTCAGGTCCCTGCAGTACGAGGTTCAACTGGTACATGGATTGTTTAGCGAGCAACAGGCTCATGTGTTAACGGTTTTTGCAGGCGTTGGAAAATAGAACCAAAGAATCGAAACAAGAAATGGACATCTTAGAGAAGTTGGAAGAATTACGAGATCTTAATGCCAGACATGCCTCAGGTATGGCATGGATAATAAAATCACTAATCACTATATAGTCTTTTAACTATCCATGGGTATAGCTAAGAGTTATAGTGCAATCTAATAATAATGTCATTTAAAATGCCCATATACTTGTAAGAAATGGAGAGCATAATTATTCAACGAAGGATCCATATTATCCGAACGTTGTTGAGGATCCGTTGGGCAGATCTTACAAGTGAATTTCTTCTGAATTACGGAACGATTTTTATTGCACATCATGTATGACAATGATGACAGATGTCAACTTCAGTTTCTTGAAAAACTCCAAAACAAATTTGTAATTATTTTTTTTTAGTTGACCATGAGATGCTGTTGCAACAAAACATGAAATACGCAAAGGAAATTGAAGCCAGACAAGAACAAGAAGATGAAGAACTTGTCCAGTAAGCTTTCAAAAAATCTATATTTAGGGCAACATTTAACTAAAGCGGAGTTTTTAGAATTATTATGTCTCATATAGTCCTACAGCAGGTTACACTTCTTGTGCCATATAATTTTAGGTTTCATGTCACCGTAATCTCAATGTTGATTTGTAGTTATATTTTTCTGCAGGTCTGTATTCGGTCGAAAAAGGCTTGAAAAACGCCTCAGTTCGGAGTCGTCAGATAGCGAGGAAGAAGGAAGTAAAGGGAATTTAAAACGCCAACATCCAGAAAATGACCAAACTGTGAAAGCGACCGATGTCCTTATTGAGGTTAGTATGATTCCTTTTAAAAAAGGGCCCATTTTCACGGAAATAAACCTAACAAATCAAACATTGCACGCTTTACGTTTGAACGCGGCACGTGAACGAACTACGGAAAAACCTGTACGTCGTTACTCGCACTCAGCGGATTTCCCAAAAAAAAATCCAATATGACATAGTTCTTCTAGATAGTTCGTTTTGTGTTTATACTCCGTCAGACGGATGATACGTCAGACGGATTATCCGTCTCTAGTATAAATCGGGCCAATAAAGAGACGTTAGTTCAACTTTAGTTTTCAGTATAAAAACAAACCTAAAAATGTATAATTCTGAAGTTTTACAACATGCAAAAAAAAAATTATTAAGGCATCTCATTAAGGCGTGTAATTTATTCTACGCAATCGTCACTGATTACTAACTCAAAATTTCAATTTATATTTTCTGTTTAGGAGAGTGCGAAGTCATCTGAACCAACCGAAAAGAAAGCCCGAAGTTGGGAGAAAAGTGTCGGTACTCTAAACAAGGTCAGTTTGGGCTCTCTCGTCAAGAAAAAGACAACTCCCAATGTTGCGAAAGGTAGGAGCACGTCCGCTGAACACGTTGTTGTGGGCTCTAATAGTAACAGTACTGCCACGGTACCAAAAGCAGGAGGATTGAGTCTAGTTGGAAATTACAGCAGCGGTGACTCGTCTGATGAGACCTGAGCTCTAGCCCTTTTTTGAAGTCTCGACGGAATTTTCTGCAAGTTGACAGCGCAGGTAAATGTTGAATGGCGGTGTGAATTCGCGGAAGTTCCAGTCCTGTCAATCTTTATTAACAATGCATACCAAAAATTCGAATTCCCGCATCGACCAAAAACAAATAGTATTGTATTTGCATAAAATATTTTACACCTCGTGAAATGTGAAATATCTTTCATAGCAAACATACATTATGCACATGTCTTGTAGAATATGTACATACATTTTTAGGACATGATCAATTGTAATATATTTCCCAGAGTTTGGTTCAACAAACTCGAAATGTCTGGATGCGTATATGATTGTAAGATTTGTTTCTGATTAATCTAGAAATCCTAGAATATGCGATAGAAAATCCTAGAATTTTTTTGAAATATCTTATAATGGTATGACCACGTGTGTGGCGTGTCTCATTCCAAACGAGAAAGCCGGGGCACATTTTTTTGCGATTGTAACCTACAAAGTGACAAAAAAGGAACATAAGCAATAATATTTTGTTACCCCTTAAGTCTTCTTCATGCATAATTTAATATGTGCCTGTAACTTACCTTCTCTGGCGAGTAGATCCCAGGCCCTGGCTTCAGTGTTCCGTCTCCCGGCATAAACTTCCGCCCATTCAGTGAGTACTTTGGTTGCTTTGTTCGATATGTATCTGGACATATCACCTTGTACGTCCCAGGTCCTGGAGTCTATGAAATCAAACAAGTAGACCTTAAACTATGTAACACCGTTAAAATGTACATATTCCAAAGGTAATTTTTTTACTAAGAGAAAAGCCCTGCTTGACAACCTATTATCCCCTGTGCTCCCAATTAAATATAGTGCTACGAGGCCCAGGGCACGAGTTAGTAATTTCCCTATTACGCAAGTAAAAAGCAATGATAGGATCATGATAGGATTAATCTTTTGGTAGATTATACATTCTGAGTGATAAAGTGATGTCTACGCCATGCACAACAAAACTACTTTATCTTAGGAGAATTCGTACTCTGGGAGCATGGAAAATTTTAGGTGATGCTCACCAAACAACACGCAAGAAAAGAATACTACTTGTTTATATTAGGACTTGTTGTACTTGGGTGGAACATTTTTGATGATGCGGTATTTTGGAAAAAGGTTTCACTCCTGTCATTCTTACCCTTTTTAAATCTTCGCTAAATCCTCCTTTTTTTGGCCTTCCATTTAACGAGTACGCAGGCGAAGAAGGCATGCTGATTGCCCTGGGTCCAATCATGACGGGGATTGTGTAGGAATTAGGCGCAGGCTTTGTGTCACGTTGTCGGTATTCCGTGCGCATTCCGAACGAGAAACTTGGAGCACGTGTTTCGTGAGGCAAATATTTCTGAGGCAGATAATGCGCTGAAATTTATTGAGGTATGAATTAGTTGTGATAGAGACGGCTTATTTTAACATGCATGATTAAAATGGTTGTAAAATCACCTTCGCTGAAAATTAGGGGTTATTGTCAAAGGTTATTTGGTTTTTTTCCCACTGAGCTTTATATGTGCACTGACTGCGAAAGAGCCTCTAGAGAAGGCAGCTCCAGTACACATGTATTATATGAATTATTGTCATGCAGTATAATTTCCCTACCTGGACCAGGAACAACAGGCGGTTTCAACGCTGCAGGCCTACTATATAAAGAGAATTTCGGGGTCGTCTGTATACCGCGTTTCGTCGAATTAGGCTTGATATAGTACTTCGGGCCAGGGCTACAATCTCCGCTTTGTATTTCATTTCGTTGACCGAAGCTAAATGCTGGACTGCGTTTAAGTCGCGGATCCCTGGTGGTAACGCCTATTGTTCCAGGAAGAGCGTACTTTGCAGGACCAGGGCCTGACGGACGCTGCAGCAATTCCTCCATTTTCTTTTTCGTCTCGTATTTACCCATGTCTACAAGTTATCCAAGGTATTATTTTAGTGCTTTTCGTGTGTAACCGAGCTGCGTAGTTTGCTGCATCATTCCTGTCGTTTGGTACCACTATGACGTCACAACTAATTAGAATGATTCGCGCACGTTCTAATCAGGCGCAGGTGAATGAGAAGAAACGCTTTAAGAGAAGATATTTTTCTATGTCTCGTAATGTTCTCAAAACCTCAGTTATATCACAGTTATTAGAATATACATGGTTTGGAGACTAGATGGAAGTACAATACAACTCATTATCTATGTTACTGTCCAGGTTTATGCGAAAAATGGTTCCTTATCCGTCACATGTCTATTGTATTTTTGCCCAACTAACCAATAGCAATGGCTTGGTTTAGCTCCTCAACCGTGACTTGAACAACATATTAATTCAGACCTTGCTATTGGCTTATTTGTTCAAAATAAAGAGATTTAAATAAAGAGATCTAAAATGAAGAGATTTCTTGGGATACGCTGAGACGAAAATGACACTTGAATTGAAGCAGCTTTTGTATTCATTTTGAGTGATAATGGCGTATACATCAGCAGCACAAGCCGCACTATATTTTGTCGCCTTGGTGTTTTGCAAGCACCAAATACTGTTCAAAACTTATTTCACAACATAGTATGAAGAATAAAGCAAGAATAAAATTAATGTAATTTGAGTGGTACGCCGAAAAGATTTTATGTTTTGAACGTTCTCCCGCCAAAATACGTGACATATAAAAAATTTTCCTCCTAATAGCTTTAATGATGTACGAGTACAAAGCATTTCAAAGTTTTTGGTTAATTGTACAATGTTTAGCTGCACCGTAGAAACAATTTTTTTGCAGCCTGTTGAGTTTTGCTGTGTTTTCAACAGTTTGTAGCATATGTAACATTGTTCGATCCACGATTTCAGAAACAGAATGTGCATTTGCTGGAATACATGACTGGGAAAAAATGAAGGAACATCAACTTATCTATCATTGTACAAATGTCCGCTATGTTTTCCGGAATCGAGAATTCTGCATTGATAGGTATAGTGCTCAGTGCTTGCTATATCCTGTGCATTATCGTATCAGCGAGTGAAAACGTTTTAAATATGCACAAAGTGATTTATTTCGAAAATGGTTTATTAATGCAAATGACATGAATTCATAACTGTATCTGTACATATTTTACCCAATTATTCGCAAATAAATTTCATCTTTAACCAAATAATTCATTTTTTGTGGATAAATTAAATTTCTTGCATTTTTAACATAGTCATAATTATTTTTATATAAGAAAAATTGCGTATATAACCATTGTAATAAACATCATTAATACTAAATTTTGTTTATAATGTAAGTTAAACAACAACTTATTAACCATCAAATCCGAAAAAAGCGTCATTATCAAACCAGTCAACATCAGGCTGTTTGCTTTTTGGTGAAATTTGTGTTTTCCCCTTGAAAGGCGACTTCTTGCTTTTGATAGGTCTGGGTTTTTTCTGCAAACAAAATAAAGGTCTTGAACTTCGAAAGAATTAAGAAGAGTGTTTCATTTGGTACAAGAAGTAAGTGTCTTTTTCTTATAGTGAATAGTGTCAATGAAAAATGTGTACGATACAATTTGGGAGTTCTTTTGGTTCTAGAAGTCGTACCGATTTTTAATTATGTGATTCTAAAAGTCTATAACTTGCTTTTTTTAAAAAGACATTATTTTTTTACCGCTGGCACTGATACTGACTGACAGTCAATGTCTGGAAATAGTTCGTTAAATTGTTTTAGCTCGTCTTCCAGAGTTACTTCCTTTGGAGTATTCTGAAAATATGAAGAGATATTATCACGTAGCGTATATGGATTCTGCTGAAAGATTCTAAAAGCCTTTTGTGTCGTGTAGGTATCACAGGAGGGTTTCTGTATAACTTGTTATGGTGATAAGAATTTTCAATTACCTTCTTAGCCTTATATATGTTCAAAGGAGATTGGTTCTTTTTCTTAGCTAGTACAGATGCATGGCTCGGTGCCGGTGAATGTCGAACGTTCGGTCTCACTACTTTAGTTGGAATGGCTACATTGGGTCCATTGCGCTGTGCTGACTTCTTTTCACTAAGCTTTTCATTTGGCTTAAAGACCTTAGTAGATAAAAGTTGGATTTGAACTAGTCGTTGTAATTATACTATCTTTATATATATTTTTTATCGGCGTTATTAACTGTTCTTGAAAATGGATCAGGGATTTTTATGATGGTGTTAAGTACAATGTCTTGAAGGAGGTTACAAATGAATAGAGGTATTATTGTTTGCTTTGGCAGGGTCTATGTCAACTACAAGGTTAGAAAAAATGCAATCTAATCATCACGATATCTACCACATCGACCTTAAAGGCTTTATCTTCTTCATCAGATGAGTATGACTTCGATGTCTCGGAAGTAAATGCCACTCTTCGTTTCTTCGAAGGCTGTGCGCTGTGCTTAAGGATGCTTCGAGGTGTTTTAGGTGTTGAAGGTACTATATGTTCCGCACGCGTCGGTGTCTCGGCTACTCTATGCATTTCAATATCATCTAGTTCAGAAGCATCCTGTTCCTGTAATAAAAGAACGGTATTTTACCCGAAAATTGATTTGAATTTTGATAATTTCGATAATCTTAACCGCCTTATTATCACGTTTACGTCTGGCAGTGTTTGAGGACATATTTGACACTAGCAGCAAAAATGAAAGAGGAAATAAATAAATAAATAAATAAATAAAAGTGAAGGGGGGAAGAAGAAAGAGAGATACAACTTTTACCTTTTCGAATAATTGCTTCTTCAAAATGTTTATCTCTGCGTCTTTGTCCATAATCTTTTTGTTCATGGTTTTCTGCAAAGTCGAACACAATTATTTGAAATATATTCTGTTGTATTCTCTAAATTTTGTTTTGTTCTCTAAGCACAACGTCGCTATATTTTTCACCTCGTCTTTAAGTTTTGATTTGTTTAAATTGTCCAATTGTTGTTCTAGCCCTTTGATTTTCGTCATCTAGAAAAGGAATTATGATATATTCGGTGAATGACATGAGCATTCTTTTTGTACGAGTTAGATTAAAGCTAACATGCTATTATACCTGTTTTTCCATTTCAATATCTTTGCTTTGTTTGAAATTTTCCAAATCCTTTTCCTTCTGAGCAACAATAAGTTCATTTTCCACCTGGGGTTTAGAGCAAGAAATATCAAGAATACTGTATTGATAACTGATAAGTTCTGTTATGAATTTTAATTATATAGTATATATTATAGGGCTGTGTATAGTTCTAAAACTTACGGACTAACCTTTACTGAATCCTTACCTTATAATTCTCCAGAGTGGCAAATAATTCAGCTCGTTCCTTATCAAATTTG